TCAAAGTGGACGATCCGGGTGTCGTTCTATTAGAGGTTTTACGGTAATCCAATGTTTTCAATAAAATCAAATCTTATTTGTTTTCTTAGGTCATAAAGCAAAAATCATCGTTTTCAGCTGTCAGAAAAGCTGATCAATTTACTTTTCAACTTTAAAATTCAGTAGAATTGATGGCCCTACTAATTATCTTTCTGTGAAGAAGATTTGAAGTTCCAATTTTTCTTTCAAGCATTTGGTTTCAAATAGGCTGAAAAGAAAAATTAGTAAAAAAAAAGGCAGAAAAATAAGCACTTTTTCCAGTTTGAGCTAGGAAATGAGCTTACCTTTTAAGAAAAATTAATGATTTTCTATTTTTTTTTTCTTCTTGATCTCATACTAGTTTCCAGAAGTAGAGTAAAGACAATTTTTTTCAGAAGCAAAACATTTTCTGCTCGGAAAAAACCTATCATAAAATTAGTTTTTGTCTGATTTGTCCAATGGATCTCCTTGCTTGAGCTAGCACAATGGGTACTTCTTGAAAGCCTCTAAATATTATGAACCGTGTTTCCCCTAATAGAAGCCCACCTGAACCATCAACTTTCAGATCAATTATCTCGATTCCTGTTGTAGATGTAAAAATTTGGTTAACTGATAAATTATTGATTATATTATGAACAATGTTTCATCAGTTGACAACATTTTGATATCTTTCACAGGAATCGAGATAATTGAGCTCAAATTTGACGGTTTGGGTGGGCTTCTAGTAGAGAGAATACGGTAGTCGGAATTAGACTATAAAAATTAGCTGAATGTTCATCTATCCTAGCCTGTCTCACCCCATCTGTCAATCAACAGTCTAGGACAATATAAAAACCTTTTCCTTAATTTCCAGAATGACGTCCTCGTGGAAGAAGACGATGATGATGACGTGGCAGCGGTTGTAGAGAGTGACAAGGAAGAGTTGGACTACGATGAAGAGGAAGAGGACGAAGATCAGAAAAGAGAACGGACTAGCCGATATACTTCAGAACGAAACGGAGGGAATCGAGTGAATTCAGATGATAGTGATGAGCAAAAGAAGGAGAATAAGGAGAAGGTAGGAAATTTCAAAAATTTTGAGATCCTGAAAATATTATAATAATTTTCAGAGCAAAAAGCCAGCGATTCCATCACTTTTCGACAAAACGATCACGAATAATCCATTGAAAAGTGGCGATCAACCGATTGGAGTCGTTCTTAGAATTGAAGGAGAACCCGAGCGAATCTTCTATCCACCACCATCGTTTATGGCCAATATGGTACAACAACCCATAGTCCCACGTCTTCCAAATGGAATACCTCTTGTTGGAGTGCCTGCGAACCACGGACGTGCTGGATTTGGAACCGGATATCAACAACAAGGAAGAATGTCTGGAGGAGGTGGAATGGTAGGAGCCTCCAGTAATCCAGGTCAATGGGAAAATGATGTGGTGCAGTTCTTGAATCAGTCATCCTCACGTGGAAGAGCTACCAAGAAAAGAAGAAGTTCCTCGTACTCAAGTGCTTCCAGTTATTCAAGTGGTAGCAGATCGAGATCCAGAAGCTCGTCGAGAGATAGAAGACGTGATGAGAAAAGAAGGAGAAGAAATCATCGAGAAGTCAGCAGAAGAGACTATGGAAGAAGAGAGGATAGAAGGGATGATAGAAGACGTCACGATGATCGTAGAACGAAGGATAGAGATTCTTACAGGGATACCAAAGATTCAAGAGACTCGGAAAGAGAATCCAGACGCAGAAAGGAGCAATCCAGAGCATCTACAATGGAATCTGCTAAAGCTTTGGGGCTTTCCAGTGATTACATCAATCAAATGAATGAGCAGAAAAGGAAAAGAGAAGAAATTGTAAGAAAGAAAGAGGAAAGAAGACATGGTCCATCTTCTGATAAAAAAGAGAATTCCACTACTGGTCCACCTTCATCAGCCCCAAAGGAAAAACCAAAGGCATATTTGGCAGTGAATGTTAGTGGAGTTCAACAGCTTCCAACTGCTGTAAAGAAGATTGAAGCGGTGGCCGTTGAGATGGGACCAATTAAAAAGTGCTGGAGATCTGCTGACGATGTTGTGTCGATCATTTTCAATGCGCACGATAAGGCCAAGGATTTTATGATCAAATATAATGGGTGAGTGAATTTTTTATTTGAAAATTGCGGTTTTCGAAGTTTGAGATTCGTTGATAAATTTGAAAATTAAGTAATAAAACCTTAAAATCTACGAGAAAGGAAAAAAGTTAAATTAACTGAAGTTTTAAAGATCAAAAACCATTTTCTACCTGAGAATTAGCATTAAGAAAACTGAAATTATCATTTTAGGTCCAATAATCCACAAGTTCATACCCCAAACTAGCTTCGTTAGTTTCAGAAAATACTATTTTTTTACCCATAGTTGTGATTTGAATACCGAAATATTAGAATACCGTAAAACGTGTATTAGAAGGGCCTCTTTAATAGAAGTGACCCTCTAATAGAAGAGCACCTATAATAGAAGGGCCCTCTGGAGGTACCATCACCATGTCACGTCACACACCACTAATCAATTTTTTTGCAGAAAAGTGCTGTCTGGTCTCCGAATAATCGTCTCTCTGGAAAAGAAGTTCCTCAATTTGAACGAAATTAATTGAGCTGTCCAAAATGATGATCCAGAGATTAATGATAATTAAATATCTGTACCCCATCCTTCCCTCCCCTGTTATCTCTCTCTCTCATTTCAATGCTTAATTATTCATTCAATTTCCACATTTTTAAATATAAACAAATCGGTTTTATTTTGTCCTTTCTCATTTTACTGTTTTTTTTCTGTACAAACACAATAAATCAATGCACAATGATCTTTTTTTTGATTTTGGTTGGGATGGGAATTCTGGAATTGGTCAAGGCGAACACAAGCTTAGGAGGGAAAAGTACACAAATAAATAGACAAAGAAATAAAGCAGTTTTTGTGGTGAGGAATGGAAATTGTTGGGGGAAAATAAGAATTTGTGGCTGGAATTATTTAGTTTACAATTGAACATGTTCAGTGGGGACTTGTGGCGATTGAATAATTAATCTTCCGCTTTCTTGGATACTCATCCGTTGGCGACATTCCGTGTGAAGTGTTGCTTTCTCTTGATATGTTGAACGCCATTTCGTGAAGCATTCACGGACGGTTTTATTCGAATAACACACGATTAGCGAGACGAAGAGTCCCTGAAAATTTGGGGTAATTTGTTGGCCTAGAAATTGAGATTCTGAGAAGTTAGGCCATTGGTTTTTATTCCAGTTATTCAAAATGTTTCGGAAATACATCTTTTTCCTGGACGTTTTTTTAAATAGCTTGCGCTTTTTTCGGTGGAATGCAGGCACCGCAGAGCAGCTAATTCAGCAGTTTTTAAAAAGCGTTCGCGTCGAGAGTAACGTTACCAACGATAAGTTACTGCAGCGTTACAGTATGTTTGCGTTCGAGCGCATTTACACGAGATCCCGAAAAGAACACCTTGCGGAAAATGAGAAAAACATTGACAACTTGCACAAACTTTGGACAAGTTGACCGATAATGAAACGCAAAGATGCTTTTGTGTTGCGTCGTTGTGATTTAATGAAGACAAAGAACGAAATTTTAAAAATAAGTGACACAGTTTTGAGCATATTGCCGGGTTTTCGACCTGCCCCCAACTTATGAACCAATGATTTCTGGAGAACTTGCTAAAATTTCCACAAAACACCGGTCAAGTAGTTTCGATGTGACTGTGTCAACTTTGAATCCGGACCGACGCAAACGTGAGAATGGAGAGGTTTATAAAGGCGACACTTTCCAAGCTACCGACATTTTACTGATAAAAAAACTTGATAGTTTTTTTGCGGAATGAGAGAGAGAGAGAAAAAAAGAGCCACAGAAACAAAGTTTTCAAATGTTTTCAGCAGGAAAACGCCGGCTGCTTACATTTAGACAGTGTCCGGTCCAGAGTTTAACAAGCTATCATTGCAAACGAGAACACCCCATCATCGCCAACTTGACTGATATTTATTGTTGGAGTAGTTACAGTAGTCTAACAAGTTTACAGAGTGCCGTAAACAAATGTTCTCCAAACAATCAACTTTGAGCTCGCAGAGCTCATTTTCTTAAAATGGTGTCAACAATTATCAACTGATAAAATGTTTATCATTGATTGTTTCACCAATATTTTGCTAGTTGAACACTTTTTGATATCTTTTACAGGAAATTAGATGAATGGGCTCAGAGTTCAAGTTAAGTGTGTTATTCTATTAGAATGTTTACGGTAATTCTTCAAAATTGGATTCCGAAAAAAAAATGTCCAGGTACGGTTCAAAAAGTCTAAAAAGGACCTCTTACCTGTAATCCATTAAGTGATTGGTCCGCCACCTGATAATACGTATTTGGAAAACGATAAATTGTCAATAGTTGTTGAACTCCAAACACTGGAATCAACATTACTGCTCCACGGACGGCTTTTCTGAAATTATTTCCGGTTTCGTAATCCTTAATTTATATTTTCCATATTTCAATCCCCAAACACATTTTGAACTTTTTTTACTATGACGTCGAGTCTTGCCCTTTTCGTCTTTGGGTAACTTGACCTATCTCACTGACTCTCACACTTTTTTCTCAGGTTCAAAAAATATTTTCTTTAGGATTCTCCAAAATTATCTCACGTGTATTGCATTCTCTCGAGATGCGGATCACAGCGGATTTTGTTCACAAGAATGATGACGACGACAGCCAGAAGAAGAAGATTGACCTAGAAAAGTTTAGAATTGTCTAGAGTTCGGAAGAAGCAAAAAAGATACCCCCATGGCGAGGAGAGACGGCGCGAAAATCATCCATTCGACCCAGGCGTTTGAGGAATTCTCGATCCAGCACATTCCAGTGTCATCATTCATACCGCGGACAATGAAATAGATCATTGTAATCACTCCGGGAACACCTGGAAACATTTTAAATTTGATTTTATGGTTATTGTCGGATTAAAAAAAGTGACACCTGAGAATTTGAAAACTTTCGCTTTTTTTGATTTACGAAAAAGTGCGGCAAAAACGTAATATTTGAGACTTTCGGCTCGTCCGAGCTCCTTTCGCTTTCAAGTTCAATTTTTGCTGAGAAATGAATTCTAGAGATGCTAGCAATCATTTTCATACTAAAAATCTAAACTTTGTCCAGAAAATTCCATTAAATTCACAGAAATAAGTTTCGTTTACTACTGTAGTGATTTTTAGGCGAGGCCTCGTAAATCGACAGGGAAGTCGCCCGCGAAGTTTTTTCAGGTCCCAGTTTGTTTAATTCGACAATACCGTACCCCTTCTAATACAGAAAAGCTCACCCAAACCGTCTTACAATTATCTCGTTTCCTGTAAAAGATATCAAAAAGTGGTCTACTGGCGAAATGTTAACCATAATATCAAAAATATTTTGTCATCTAATAACTTTTCACTATCTTCAACAAGAACCGAGATAATTGAGCTTGAAGTGTACGTATAGGAGTGGGAGCATTTACGGTAAACTCAATAACTTTGACACACTTCATCTCGGTTCCTTTAAGAGATATCAAAAAGTGATCAAATGACAAAATATTATTGAAATTATGATAAACGTTTTGTTAGTTGACGACTTTTAGGTATCTTTTAAAGAAACGACGGTAAATTGGGTCAAATAGAGAGATGGGGGCCCTTCTATGCTCTTTGGGAGTTTTAGAGGAAACCATTTTATTGAATGAAATTAAACTTGGGCATAAAATTTTCGGAAAATACGGAAACAAACACTTTAATTTTTTGATTAACAAATTTTGTGTGCAAATTAATCTAGAACCATAAAGTGCCGATATTACAAAACTTTGCAATTACCGTATTTGCTCTAATAGAAGCACAATTTATATGTTGAGCTCAACTATCTCGATTACTGTAAAAGATATCAAAAATTGTCAACTGTAAAAATATTGGTGATATTATGCCGAGCCTTTTATCAGTTGACACATTTCCGATATCTTTTTAAGAAACTTAGATAATTGAGACCTTGGGTGGGCTATTATTAGAGCAAATGCGGTATACTGCTTTCGAAAGCCTAATCTCATTTGGACGACGTTGTAAAAAATATCATTACAATAATCAAAGCATATTTTTGTTTTTTATATTCTACTCTTGAAAATCGAAAAAGGACAAAATACAATGGACCTATAAAATAGACAATAAAGATCTGGAAATACACTTTCAAAGAAACTACCGTACCCCAACACGCGATTTTGTAGTCGTTCATAGTCTCTCCGTCGGTTGAATGTTGGGCGGTATGAAGAAGTCTGAAGAGGTAGACAGCCTCAGCAAGCATCCATGAGAAATTCGTCATTCGGAGATAACGGAGTTGGACGGAGAAGAATACACGGCAGAAGATCTGGAATTGGGTTTCTTCGGATTCTAAAATCCCGAAATTCGACTGTGTCAAGAATTTTTTTTTCATTTTGAGCCAAAAGTATTCTGTTCAAAAATAGGTGGTGTTTTAAACGAAATTTGAATAATTCACTTTTCGCGGGCGTTTTTCTTAAAAAAAAAGGAAACAAGGGACCAAAGTGATCAAAAGAAAATCCAAAAAAAGAAGAAGAATAAGACTCACATGGTTCTCAAAGACTTGACCGGACAACGGGGCGAAGCTAACAACGAAGAATGTCGTTGAGCAAAGATAGAATACCCCGTACAAGAGACATGAGATGAGCAGTTGACGGTGAAGAATGAACATGGGACTTTTGCGGATTGGTCTGGAAATTTGAGAAAAAAAATGAGCAATGAGCATTATTGGGAGATGAACACTTTGAATACGTAAGTGCGCTCTAAATATAAGGTCCCCAACACTGTCAAGTTAGAGCTCAATTATCTCGGCTCATATGCAAGATATCAAAAATGTGACAATTGATAAAATGTTTGTGAGATTATGATAAGCAATCTGTCTATTGACAATTTTCATATATCTTTGACTGGAAACGAGAAAGTGAGCCCTTCTATTACAGGGGTTTAAGGTGTTTACCTGAAGAATCCAAGAGCAACGACTGCTGGAAGTAAGAATGTTACACTGAGAGAATACGTGATTACTCCAGCGATAAGTTTAGCTTGGGCATCCTGAAAATATCCAATAAATGAGTATTACCAAAAAAAATCATAAATTCAATGTTCTTATTCAGAAAAAAAGTGGTCCAGAATTGTTTCCATTTGTCTGTAAATTTCAGAGTATACTAAAGATACAAAGATATTAATTTTTGTATTTGGCAAGTTCTCGGCTGAAGTTCATTCTGACAAGATGTGCCGTTTTCAACCAAAAAAATGCTGAAAATGCCCAAATGAGTGTTGTCCCACTTTAAAAGTTTTTATCTCGCTGGGTTGTAGTTGTACAAAAAAGATGTTGATTACGAAAATGAAGTTCTTTTATTGTTTAGTATACTCTGAAATTTTCAGACAAATCGAAAAATTCCAGACTTTATTTTGAGGACTTCAAAATTCCTTAATTTGCAATGAAAAATGTCAAAATACCGTATTTTTCAAGTTTGAGCCAATATATCTCTGCTCCTGTAAAATACATCAAAAAGTGATAAACTGACAAAATACTTATGATATTATGATACATATTTTGCCAGTTAACTACTTTTTTATATCTTTTACAGGAACCAAGATAGTTGAGCTCAAAGTCGAAAAGTAGGGGCCGTTCTATTACAGGTTTTACTGTTTATGCAATCCATACAAACTCACATCATTCCGCGTACAACCTGTGTAATCAGTATGCTCCTTATAACCGTAACCTGGTAAATCCCACCCATCAGCATTGCACTGTTTTTTGGCTGAAACTCGAATTACCGTAACCTGGAGCTTTTTGTAAATCTCTTACAATGTCCATCATAATCCGTTTTGATATTCGATCCACCATAAATATAATTCGGGCACTGTTTGCTTATCATTCCCTCATCTGCCGAATCAAAACAGTTCCATCCGTCCCACGTGGCAGGGCATGGTGATTCATCGTGACGATGGTGATCTGCGGGAGGCTCAGTTTGGGTTACTGTAACTGGGGCAAAATCTTACATTTAACAAGAGTGTTTCGGCAACAGTATCTTGCAGCTGAGCAGCAATCTTTGACGATAAGCTCGAAATGAAATGGGAGGGGAGGATCAAGGGCCAGTTGATTCAGAGGTGTTATTCGGGATCTGAAATGATGGACTAGTTTTTTTTTTGGTTTTCTAGGCCCCAGAATATTAGAATTGCGAAATTAAGAACATTTTAACATCATGGCATTTCAAAATATCAGGATCTGCTATCTTGTAGACTTCCAGTCATTTTGGGTGGCCTTAAAATAGTCAACTATGGATTTCTAGGCCATCAAATTCTTGAGTTTCTAGGCCACGACTTTCAATCCCTTCAGGTCATCTTTTTTTCAGTAAACACCTATTTTTTACTCTTGGAAAACTGCTTCAAATTTCCTTCTATTTTTCTCAAACTGCCAAAATAATGAAAATTCTAGGGTTCACTTTTTTCCATTCCTCCAATTGAAAAGGGCATACTATGCCTGATTGAATTTTTCTCTTTTTTTTTCTCAGTTAGGACCGCCGAAAAAAAGGAAAAAAGTGAGAAAAAACGAACTTTTCCCTATTTCATTCAATTTCCTCTTTTCGCACTTCTTTTTTTCCTGGAATTTCTGAATTTCTCGGCTCAGTTTTATCGGCTCAAATTTGATGATCGGAAATTTACAAAAGTGACGAAAATTGAGAAAATTGAGAAACAGAAAATGGAACAGTGGAACAATGAAGTCAATTGAATTGAAAGGGAATTTTTTGCAGAAGTTTCGAAAAAAAGATCTACCGTAAAACCTGCAATAGAAGGGCTCTCTAACTTTCGGCTTTGAGCCTATTTTTCTCGGTTCCGATGAAAGATATCAAAAAGTTATCTACTGATAAAATGTTGAAGACATTTTGATAAGTTTTTTGTTAGTAGACTACATTTTCTTATCTTTCGAAGGGACCGAGATAAACTGAATCGAAGACAGGGGACCTTACCTCGACCTGTAATAAAATTAGTCTAAACTTTGACTCAATTTTTCTCGATTTCTGTAACAGATATAAAAAATCTGTCAACTGATAAAATGCTTATCATAATGTTTTCAACATTTTACCAATTTACACATTTTTCATATCTTTGACAGTTACCGAGATAATTGAGTTCAAAGTGCACGATATTTCTGCTAGGAAAGGGAATGAAGTCAGAACTAGAGAAGTTGAATTTCCAGATCACAAAGATTCTGAAGATTCTGAAAACCATGGATTCTTCGATCCCTTGCAATATTTTTTTTTGTTCCACCATTTTCCAATTTTCAGCTCTTCGTTTAAACCAGAACATTTCAATTTTCCCATCTCCCACAAAATAAAAAACAAATCGTTCATCATCATCATCTTTGTACTAATCCCTTCTAGATGTTTTTTCTGCGAAAAAAAAATAAAACTAAAGAACAAAGGAAAAAACAATTTTCCCATCAAAAGTTGTCAATCATTCCTTAAAAAAGGACAGAAAATAATCTTGTAAAGGATTAAAGCACTAGGCTTTTTTTAAACATTTTTGAAAAAAAAAGTTCCTTGATTTTAATAATTTCAGAATTTCGAAGTTTCAAGTTTTTGAATCAAAATAGAGTGCTAAAATTTCAATTTCGAAATCTCAGACCCCCGAAATCCGAGCAAAAAACTTCCTCTGCGCTTTCCAAAATTTTCCCTAGAACTCTCGAAATTCCCATGCTCTTCTTTATTGCTCTTTTTTAACTTTTCAAGATTCTCAAAAGACAAAAAATTAATCCCTAATCTGTTCCTCCATTTTTTTCCAACTTTCCTTCGTCCCAAAAATTTTTCTCGTTGTTTTATTTCAATGTGTTTTGCTCCTGTTCCCTTCAGAATCTTCTAGGAGAGACAAAACGACGAAAAGTGTTTGAAAAATGTTGCATTTCTTTACACAAAACCTGTCAACTCATTTCTCATTTCTCCAATCCGTCACTTTTTGCTCTTTTGTCTCTGGCGCAAAGAATGAGCAATCAAGAGGAGGTTACTGTAGTTTTAAAAGTACTACAGTAAGAATTTCAGATCTACAGGTCCCTCGAATTCAATGAATTCTTTGAAAAATTAAAATCAAAAAATGTTCCAGAGATATTTCTAAACTCCCATATCTCATATATCATCATGTGTTGCTTTATGATGAGAGATTGTTAAAAAATGAGAGACGCAGAGATTCGCGGTTATGATCGGAAACAAAAAAATAGTTTTTGAGGAGGATGAGCAACTTTTCATTTCGGAACAGAGAAGAGAATATTTTTGAGAGAGATTCGTGACGCAGAGAGCTAAAGAAAAAGAGCAAAAATATTGAAATGGTATATTGAGCAAGGAGGAAACGAGTGGGGGAAGAAGAAAAAGTGCAGGATACCCGAAAATAGCATACTTGTGAAATTCCGGGCCGGCCCGGCAAAGCCCGGGCCTGAGGAAAATTTCAAGGCCCGGGCCCGGCCCGGAAGGCCCGGTAGCAAAAATTTGTCATTTTGAACCGAATTTTGAGCTCTTAATACAATTTTCTATATTTGTTTGTGCTTTTCGGATTGTTTGTCTGTTTGATCAAAAAATATTTGAAAAAACTCGAAAAAATTTTTTGTTCGAAAAAAATCACATAAGGGTCCCCCCTTATGTGTTGGAATGACAGGAAATTCGGGAAAAAGCCCGGCCCGACCCGTTACAAGTAAGGAAAATAAGAAATCACGAGAGATCTATGAATATGAGGTTTTTCAAAATTACAAAGTTTGTAAGGAAATTTAAATTCTGCATCATGAAGAAGTGTAGAACCTCCAATAGAAGGGCCCCCACACTTTCAAGCGTGAGCTCAATTATCACGGTTCTTGTGAGAGATATCAAAAGTGCGTCAACTGACAAAGACGTCTGATATCATTCTATTCATCATTCCTATAATAAATAAATGAAGTTGCGTCTCTTTGTTTCTCTCTCTGTCAGTTTGTCCGCGAATTTTGAAAAGCTGGAAAGTAAAATATTGATTCACGCGACCTTTAAAAAAAGTGAGTCGCGAAGCGACGAACAGTAAAAGAAAAAGATTAATTTCAGCTGTTTGAAGCGCCGGAGGCGCGGCAAACAGGCTGGTTCTTATAATAAATAAATGAAGTTGCGTCTTTTATTTCTCGATCTGTCGCACACGTTGAAAAATTTGAATTAAAATATAAATTGACGTGACCCTTTTAGGAAGACAGAGGAGCGAAGCGACTAACAGTAAAAGATATAGGTTATATTGCGCCAAAGGCGAACCAGCCAGCTGTTTGAAGCGCCGGAGGCGCGACAAACAGGCTGGTTATGATCAACAATTTATCAATTTACAAATTATTTTGTATCTTGCACAGGGACCGAGGAAAATTGACTCAATTTTGAAAGTTAGGGAGTCCTTCTACTAGAGGTTTGAAGGTAATTCAAGAACTCGATAGCCTGAAAATCCATGATTGAACGATTCTAATTCATAAGAATAGTATGGGAAATCAAGTACATATAACAGGTTTTCGAGATTTGCGATTCTGGGATCCTGATATTCGGATGTTCAAAAAATCCATAAAGTCAAATAGTTCTAGATTCTGATATTCTGGCATTTGGAAGGAATATTAGATTTTGAAATTCGATCCTGAAATTTTAAAATTCAGGTAAACTGTCAAATACGTTTTCTGTGAATGTGTCAATTTTGAATTTGGTTTTTTTAAACAGCAAAGACTTCCGATTTTTAAGGGATCTTGCATATTTATTATGTTCTACCGTTTTTATTAATTTTTAATATACCTTTTCCGTCCCCCAACGTATCTTTTTCCCTTTTTTCCAACTGACAGGAGAGTCTTCTGAATCCCCATGAGCTTCTCATTTTTGCTCTCCGGAACATCATTCATCTCTTTTTTTCATTCAGAACTCCTTAAATGTCATGGTCATGCAGAACTTTGTTGGGCGAGAACAAAAAAGTTTTCGCTCCTTTTTGGAAAAATGATGAAGAGACCGGAAATCTGAGGTGACAGGCACCGAGAAAAAATTGGAGAAACATTTCGAAAAAAAGAAGTTTCTGAAGAAGGAAAATGAGTCAGACGGGAAGTTCGATTGGATTGAGAATTTGAAAGTTTTGAAGGGCGCGAAACTATTTTGGAAAATATGAAATAAGTTTGACCTCTATGGTTCAAGTTTTTCTGGAATGAACAAAGATAGGATGTGGGGAGAAAACTGACTCACTATTTTGGAAGATGAAAATCAGAAAAATTAAGGTTCTAAGAATCAGGATATATGAAATTCAGATATTTCTGAAGTCGATTTTCTTCAACTGAAAAATCTGAAATTTGAACTTCAATATCCAGAAAACCAGAAACTTCCCAGAACATTTTCTTGAAAGCCAAATCTTCAGAATTTTTTCGAATTGTTTTCGAAATTGGAAATCCATAACAAAAGTATCAAAGGATTCTCATTTATAATTCTTAATTCAGAATTCTCGAATTTCTTGAAATTTTCAAATTTTACAAGTTCCATAATTAGAAATTTCTGTGATTGGCATTTTCTCATAATTGAGAATTTGTATTTCAGGAATTCGTATTCTGAAGCTGAAGGTTTTTTTTAATTTTTGAAATTTTCAGTTTACCGTAAAACCTGTAGTAGAAGGGCCCCGTAACTTTCAACTCTGAGCAGTTTACTATTAAAGGTTTTACGGTAATTCGAAGTTTCGAAAAAACCAAAAAATGTGTTCCCTCCCTGAAAAATGGTCCCCCTTTAAACTTCCTCCTATTTCACCCTTTTTCCTTTTCTATTCCCGTTTACATGGTCCCGAAATAAGAGTGAATTGCGGTGTGGTCAGTGCGTGTATGCCTATGAGTCTCGTGTAAAGTATGTTTCTCTGCGTCTCTCACATTCCCATACTCTTTCATCTCAATCATTCAAAAACGAGCAACAAAAAGAGTCCGTTTGGAACTCAAAATGTTGCGAAAAAAGAATGAGGCGAGACACAATTTTTCTATCCCTTATGCATTTTTTTGTCCTTTTTTCTATCCTCCCAAGAAAACCAAATTTTTCTTCTAAACATAGAAAATATTGGGGAATAGAAGGTAATCGTATTACATCAGTTTTTGGTCCTTCTGTAGTCCACCAAAATGTCCGCGGGGAGGATTCGAAAGAAATTGATATGTTCTTCTTTTTTTCGTCTTCTCTTTTTCAGCAGAAGGCAACATTTTTGCTCATTTGTGAAATCCGAGATGGGATGGATGGACAGGAAGTGAGGAAAAAGCGAAAAAAATAGAAGAAAATTTAAAAAACGAAATTCGAAATTATTCGATCTTTTGTGTCATCAAAGTAGAAACCCTGTTAATCCATGGACTACTGTAATCCATGGACTCTAATAACTCGCTAGGACTTTTAAGAGTGATGGTAAAATTAAATAAATTCGTTTTCCAGAGTCCACACAAAAATAAAAAGAATTTCAAAGTAGGTGAGAATCGAACTCGGGATGTTCTTTTACTAGCCAAAGCCGCTGCCGACTGCGCAAACGGAAAGGACGCGGCGAGCCAAGGAATACGCTGATAATACGAGCGATGGGTGCTTCTTTGCAAAGGAAGGGTAATGAAACAATATTTTTCAGAAGCTACTAGAAAGCCACCAGAATAGGTACAGTAATTCCCAAAACTTACGAATTCGAAGCAAATTCCGGAAGATTATAAACCACGGACGGATTCTCACAATGACAATACTTTGCGTCCGAATTCTTTGGACAAACCAGAATACCGAAACCATTGTCGCATAAAGTGGCGTTATATCTGCAAAAAAATTGGAAATTCTAGATGTTTCTATATCAACCTCTCCCTAATTGTTTCAAAATTCCTCAAAATCAGAAATTCTCAATCCGTCCGGTACAACTAGAAACAATTTCTGACCCATCAAAGGTTTAATGAAGAAAAAACATTTTATGGTCCTACTGTAGTCATACATAATCGCATTTTTATGAACAAAATACGTTATTTGTCTTCTGATGGAACTTTCATAGAATTTTAGAATCTCGATTTTTCAGAATCAAAAAATCTGAGAATCCGAGGATCTGAGAATTTCAGGATCTCGAAATTTCGAAATCTTAGAGTCGCAGAATCTCAGAATCTTAGAAGTTCTGAATTTCTGAACTTCAGAATATTAAATTCTGGGAGTCTTGAAATATAAGAATCCATGAACTTTAGAATTTAAAAACCTCAACATCTGGGATTACGGAGAATTTCGAAATTTTGGAATCTCAGAATCTCCGAATATTAGAATCTGGGCGTTTTGAAATCTTTGAATATTGGAATCTCAAAATTTTGAAAGTTCAGAACGCTATAATTCAAGAATCTCAGAAGAACATCAACATCTGAGAATCCGAGAATCTGAGAAGTCTAGAATCTAGAAACCCGAGAATCTCAAAAACGGACTTCGAATTGAATAAACGAATTCTGGAATCATTTATCGAAATTCCGAAATTCCACCTTTTGCTCAAATTCGATGTTCCCAGATTTATTAAAAATTCGTAGTTGACCTATCGTCTTTTTTTCCGAAATTCCCAAATAAAGTGACCTTCTGGTCCCGACAAAAGTGTAGTGTATGTTAATTGTCGGTGGCAAAAAAAGTGGGAAAACGAGGTGCAAAAACGGCGAGAAATTGAAAAAAATGGTGGGACGTCATCATGAATAATTGACTCGTTTTGTCTCTTTTTTCAAGGAGGAACAAGCTGAAAAATAGTTTTTTTCAACACTAAAAAAAAGGTTTCAAAAGCACAACTGTGTCCGAAATCAGCTCGAGATATAGTTCAAAAATTAATAATTTCGGGGTTATGAAAATTAAAAAAACCCCCAGTTTTTTCTTCGATAAAAATTAATTTTCAAAAAATAATTTGAAGGATCTAACCAAAAGAAAAAAAAATCAGGTCTCACCTATCTTTATAATGATCCAAAAGCATATAAATGAAATAGAAGCATGAAGCACAAGTGACTGAATCGAATGCTTCTGGTTGAAAATTTCCATAATTTGAAAATCGACACGACATTTGGAAGTCGTCGATGACGGGTGGTGGTCCCGCAGTTGTGACAGGTATCCAAGAAGAATTCATGACCCCAGAGAGACAGAAAAGGGGCGGGGCTTATTTTGAAACGTGAGCAAAAGTGGGCGGAGTCTCAGAGAGACGCAGAGATGAGAAGTGCACAGAGAAAAGGGATTTAGGAGGTCCTTTTTTTTCTGAAATAAAAAAAAAGTTAATGGAGTTTTGGGAGGGCGCGAAAAGTTGAATGATGATGTGAGAAAATAAGGAAGATTCTCTAAAAGGAAATAGAAAAAATTTAATGAGAAAATGGAGAAAGGGTTTTGAAAAAGTGAATTAAGAAGGAAATGAAAAAAGTCATCAATGGTAATGCGTTTTTTGGGGAATTCTTCGAATAAGAGGAAGGATAAGAAAATTGAACTAAAAAGAGGAAGAAGAGGGATAAGAATAAAATGACGAGATGAAGTATGACACATTTTCGCATACTGTGTATTGGAATATAGGGATAGAGACCATGAAGTCTAGGAAACTGATTTTTGAAACGCCTCACAGGCTGTATTGCTCAGATTTCAGCTTTACAACAAGTGACGCACCACGGGAGAGATTTATCGGAGATCAGAAAATAACCGTTCCAATATTAAGAATGTCTGACAAAGTCGGTTTGTGAAAGTTAGTGTCCTAGAAATCCAAATTTTGAAAGAAACTAGGTCATCCATTTCATCAAGCAAAAGCGTTTGTTGCTTGATTTTGACGCATGTTACAAACATTTGAACTGAATATCCGACTTTCGGATTCTACACCACTAACTTTAAAATAGGTTTAACTATGCTCAAAATGGACAGTTCTCAAATTTATAACCTGTGCCAAATTTAACTTGTGGCCTAGTTTTGCGAAACCTCGAATTTCTAGGTCATTGTTTTGTTTTTGTTTTTTCATAAATTTTGAAGTTTTTAAAAATAATCAAACATCTCAAGGACTTCTTCAAACCCCGAAAATAAAAGAACTATATGATAGGAGAAAAAAATTTCCAGGCCAAAATGTGTTATTTTCACAGTTGAACCTCACCTCTTTTTTTCTAATTTCAAGAATTGAGAATTTTTTTCTCAAGCGAAAAAAAAACAAAGATTTCCTTGAAATCTTTCTTGGAAATAAATCGCTGAGAACAAATTTTTCATTTTGGCGACCATGAGAAACCCCGCCTACTTTTCTGGATTAGAAAAATGGAAAAATGACTTCTCTTGGGAAGTTAAAAATAAACCCGAACAAAGTTTAATTATGGAACTTTCAAAGTCTAAATTTTAGAGTTCTTTCAACTTTCAGAATTTCAGAAATTCGAAATATCGAGACTGGAGCCCAGGATCCAAGGGTGCCTACCCTAAGAACTAGATGTACCCTTTTTCAATGTACCTTTGGATACTTGGCATGAAACTGGAAACATCAAAGTCTTTTGAACTCCGAAATTTCAAAATCTCTACTTCCTGGTCAGAAAAATTGGAAAATAAAGAAATCATTCAGAAAAAAATTATGCCTCATAAATCCATCAAAATTTTATGGTCCTACAGTAGTCATGGTTACACTTTTTGAATTTAAACAAATACGTCAGAACTCTGAAATCATAAAAATCACGAGCACATTTTTCAAAAATTACACAAAACTCCATTATCGAGCATCTGAAATCTGGAGGATTCCAAAATATCGAAAACTATCTTTTTTGGGTGTATTCAAAAACTGAATATGTTCCAGATGTCTCAAAAACAAAAAAAAAACAGTTCACAGATTTTAAAAACCACTAATCTCTTCCTCTTTTAGATCGTCTGGAAAAAATTTCAGATAAATAAATTATTCAATCAAAAAAGTTCCTAGAACTCCTCCACCAATTAATCCCTAAATCAGGAAGAACAACAGAACCAAAAAAGAAAACGGAACAATTTTTCTTTTTTTCTTCTTCTTTTATTCCGAATGGTTAAAAAATTAGAGAGCATGTGTTTTTGACTGCGGAAAGCATTTTTGTTTTATAGTACAAATTTCTAATCTAGTTGTAAGCGGGTGTTTCTTTTTTTTGCTATTTTGTTATTCAGAAATATCAAAAATTGGATATAAAAAATAGCAAAAAAAAGTTGAGCTTATAAATTTTTTAAATTATATAATATATAATTTACATTAGTCGTGTTTTGGATAGTTCAGGAAGACAAGTCAGACAGAAAATCTGGAAAAAAACAGTTCGTATTAATATGAATAAGAAATCCGTCACTAATCTAGGGATCAAAAATTATGGGTCTAGGAAGATAGAATCTATGAAAAAGGAGAATTTTGAAAAAAAGTATTTCTAAAAAATCTTTATTCCTGAAAGTTGTCAGAGTTTCTCTCAAAAATTAAAAAAAATCCAATTCTCAACATCTCCCAAAATTTCAAAGTTCTAATCCCAAGAAAAGGTATGATCTGTCAATCTTTTATACTGTTCTCTGAGTTACATTTTTTAAAGATTTCGAATTTACATAAAATTGAATTTATTGGAAGCAGTACAGGAAAAATTTAAATGTTCAAAATCTCAACTCTTAGACTAAAAAGCCTGAATCCATAATCTGATCTCATCAAATAAAAAAGTGAACACTTCAAAAATGATAAGTAAAACAATACACTAATCTCATCCTTTTTTTTATCTTTCGTAGAAAAATAGTCTACCAATAAAGTCTTCAGAAAAACAGTCAAAGTATAAGGAAAACCTCTTCAATAGAAGGACCTCCTAATAGAAGGGCTCTCCAAGAGGGGCTTGGAATATAGAAGGACCAGTTTCAAAATGTGTTATTCAAGCTTAAAAATCTTCTGTACGTTTTCTCGTTTTGCTCAAAAATTCAATTTTGATTTCATGGATTTTAGCCCAGAAAAAACGAGACCTCCCTCTGATTGAAGGGTCCCTGTAAAAGAACGAACTCTCCGGAGGCCCCTTGGAACAATACCTGCTCTTCTAACTTCTAGTAATACAGGTTTTACGGTGTTCAGTTTCCCAGAGATGACACCCTTTTCCAATTAACATCGTCATTTCTTTTTCGGTCACTGATGTATCTCTTGAATACCGTAAAAATGATATCTGAAACCTGAATGTACACGTGGCTTCTAGACTATTCCCCACATCCCTATGCTAATAAACATGCCAAGATTAGAAAAAAAAACAGAAGTCGTAATAAGAAAAAACGAAACAGAGTTTAGGAGATAACATAGATACACCTCACACGGGAAATTAAAATATGTGTATAGTTGAGAGAAAGAGAATCCAAAAATATAATAATATGAATGAAAATTGATGAACATTGAGTTGTCTAGGAGATAATATTAGCAAAGGGAATAATAGGAGAACAAAAAAGAGAAAGATTTGTGAGTAGGTGGAGAAGAATCGGAAACAAAACACAAAACAAAACAATCACAAGACTGTATCTGCTCGTTGAGAAGAATAAGATGGGGTCACGTGTAGGAATGGATGAAAAGGGGAAGATGATTTTGTACTTGGATCTTGAACTATACACTTTCACAGTACGAGAAAATCCGGTAGAAAATCTGAAGTTTTGGGAGGTATGAAAAATAAAAGCATTTACTAAAAAAGCTGTTATAGAGTTTATATTGCGTTTAAATTGATTTTTTATTTTTCGTTTATATTTCAACAGTTTATCACTTTTTGATATCTTTCACAGAAAACGAGATTAGTTGACTCACAGGTGACAGTATGTGGGCCCTTCTATTACAGGTTTCACGATATTCAATTAGTCTGAAATTTTGCAAATGTATACATCAAAATATGGCATTTAATTTTGTAGTTGACAAATTTTTCCTAAAAATTCATATAAGCAAAATACGTAGCGAAAAGTGTCAAACTTGAAGAGCAGCCGGCAGAGTCCCCTTACCTCCAACTTTGACCAAATTTATCCCAGCTCCTGTAAGAGATATAAAGAAATATTCAACTAGCAATATATATTTCACATCATTCGTATCTTCCTTATATATAAAACGCTAGAGGCGTCCGTCCGTCCCGATGTCACTCTGTCGACTTTTGAAAAGCTTGAAAATAAATATAGATTTACGTGACTTTTGTAGGAAAAGGAGAGAAGCGACGAACCAGTAAAAAACTGGATTAAATCGCGCCGAAGGCGCACCAGAAAGCTGTTTGAAGCGCCGGAGAAAACAGGCTGGTTTTGATTTAAAAAAATTTCAGAGGAACATTTTTTGATATCTCACACAGGAACCAATATAAGTTGCTCGAAAGTTGGAGGGGCTCTTCTATTAAATGTTGTAGATCATTTGAATAAATTGCGAAGATCCAATTTTGACTGAAATGTTATCATTTTTAACACAATCGCAAACAAAATTTTCGAATACAAAAATGTATAAATATTCAAAAAAAATACGAAAAGCTATCAATTCCCCGATGTCACAAGACTTTTCGATTGGAGTGTAGGTGAAAATAGAAATCGAATAGAAGGGAAAAAAGAGACCATGCAATTAAGTGTGTAGAAATTTATTTTTGATTTTTAATTTTAGGTTTCCAAAATGATATTTTGGTCTTATGGATATTATAAGAAAAAAAGATTGATCTGACACCTCCTGCCTGGGAATCTCGTGGAAATTCCAGGTTCTGAATAGAAGAATTCCTGGAATTCATGTTACAAAATATGAACTTACCGTGAAAATTCTTGAAAATCTAGGTCACCGAAAACTGAGTACAACGTATATTCTACAAAAAATAAGTTGACATAATCCTATTAATTTTGACCTACATTTTCAAAAAAAAAACAGTAACTCAAATTCGTTCTACTACCTCATTTCCATTCCCAAAGTCACTTACAAATTCAAATAAAATTCCCAATTACAAAAAGACTTCTTTCAACCAAAAAGGACAAAAAGAGCTCTCTCTTGTTTTTCTCTCAATCTTCGTCAATGTGCTCCCCCTTTTTTTGCTCTTTTTCTGTCCCAATTCGGGTTAATTATAGTTTCTAGAAGAACCCTTTTTTCCACAAGAGAAGAACATGTTCTATCTCTCTTTTTTTCATCCACCTACACACTTTTTTTTAAAAGAAAGAATC